ATTTATTTTATTTTTAAAGTCATAAAAATATATAAATTTGATGAAAACCTGTGAAGTACCCGATACGTAATTACTGCATCTATAAATCTGATTACAGTAGAAACAAAAATAGTATATATACCTTTGATTCATCATTTTATATCTTAATTACTTACATTCAAAATAAATGACCTTGTTATAAATCAGAAATATGGGAATTGTTTAAAATACTATTGTCCATATTTCTTTGGTTTTTTCTCATATCACACTGTTCATATTTAATATTACATCAGTATGTATAACATTGAAATTATACTTTTGCAATGGACACGTTATTAATTAACTATGATATATACATATGAGTTCAATAAATTCCAAGTATTTGACAATAATAATATAAAGAATAAAATTTTATCGGTAAAGGTACTATTAACCGAGAGAAGCAATCGCAATTTTTCTACCTACAATTATTTCGAGAGTCGAAGGCAGGTGTACGAGAAATGAAAAGCAAAACACGATGAAATCCAGACCTTTTCACTGGCAAATGAGCTCCTAGCACGAAACGCGGTTGCGGTGAACCGGTCGATCGATCGATTAACCAAAAAACCAAAGACCACCAGCATGTTTTTTTATGTCAGCTGTGCGTTCCTCTTTTCAGACATACGGCTGCAGTTAAACGAACAGCTGAGATGTCTCGACGTCAGGATGGAGGCCCAAGTCGCCATCGTGGCAGAACTTCAGGATTTTTTTCGACGGAGAGCCGAACTGGAGCTCGATTACAGCAAGTCCCTCGACAAGCTGGCCAGAAGCATACAGCTTCGACACAAGGAGCAAAAACAGAAGTACATACACACATTAATTGTTTTTTTTTTCTTTTAACACTTTCGCGTTGGATCACGAAGTATAGCCAGCGGAATAAATGTAACGAGGTCGTAAATTAACATACTGACTTTATACGACCCTGATTGAGGTTTCGGGTTTTTATCTTCTCAGATTTCTGTCGATTCTCTCGTCGATATACTCCAACGCGTAAACTTTGACGCATGACCGATTTTACGATCTCACTATATTTCTTCCATAGACTATACCTAGGTGGACACAAAATTGAAGCGCCATCTAATTTAATTACCAGTTTAAATATTACAATTTAGTACGAAATTTCCCGGGCAAATTATTTTTCCTAAAACATATTTTCCTATTAATTTATAATATTGTAGTTTTTGTGCCTACTTTCCACTGGGTCACTCAATTTTATGAATTTTTCTATTCATTCTTACAAAATCTTTTTTTTTCACCTAATAGAAAAGGAAAAGAAGTTACTTAAAGAATAGAAAAGAAACTGTGTATTTTAACAAAATTTCATTTCATAAAATTATAGATATTCGAAAAATAATCTGAATCTCTTAACTGGATTCGGTTCATCAAAGATCAGGTCACCTTATAGGATAACCTTTTCATCAATTAAAAAACTGTTTGTGTTGGCACTCACATTGTTCGTGAAGTCGATTATTTAGCAAATACCTAATGCTTTATTTGCCAACACTGAATATAATTAAAGTTCCACGGATAATGTGATTACACTTGAATGTAGTTCGACTAGAGCAGTTCGCGATGAAGTGTAAGTTCGTGCAGTCACGAACTAATTCCACTAAGGAACATTACTCAAGTGACAATCCCAGATTTTGATGAAACTTGGCATAAGGAGTAGAACATCGAAAAATATTTGACAAGCATTTTTTTTTTATCGATTGATTTATATTCAATGAACATGAAAACGAAACTTTAAATTTGGAGATGTAAAACCTATGTTGTTACATATTTCGAAAATTAATCAAGATAAAAAAAAGACTGTTACATGTGAAAAATACACGAATATTTTTTTTTACCCTATATATATATATAGGGTAACTCACATAACTTGTCTACCTTGAATAATTTCTAAAGTACGTATACGTGTTTTATAAAGAAAAGTGTTTTATATAGAAATTGCACGATATCGAAGGGAACATGCATTTTATACATAGCATAACGTAAAAATTATGTGGGGGACACCCTGTATATTCATAATAGATCTTTAACGCACGGAAGTGAAACATATTGTAGTTAGCCATAAACAATTCTTAGGCGAGAACAGTGGCCCCTATTCTCGAGCTACGCTTGCTGGCAGCAGCTTATCAACGAAACGAAGTCCTTAAGCAGAGATCATGCCGCTCTTTCGGAAGTATACAGCACACATCTCGTCGGTCGTCTCAATCAAGTGATGGAAGACGTTCAACGGATATACAAGCGTGTGAGTATGAACCAGCTTCTTTCGGTAATTCCAATCTTCCCGGTTCTTTAATCTTAATCCTTTACCTAAACTTGCTTTCTTTAATCGAAATCCAGATAAGAAGAGCTTCATATTTGAGTAATTAACCCTTTCCCTGCGGCAGATGGTACATGTTCAATCACGGCCGCAACATCTTTCGTTTCGGCGTTTGAAAATTTATGAAAAATGAAAGAATTAAAATTAAAAATTTATCGTTTTTAAATTAATTTTATTAAATTAAGATGGAAGTGCGCAAAGGACAAAAATTAAGGATTAAATTAAGGTGGAAATCTGCCAATAAGCAGTGAAAGGGTTAACAAAGAAAATCCGAATTCGGATATTTGAATATAAATCCGGATACTCAAGTAACTTAGAGTCGGATTTCGACACCAAGTTCGGATTATAATGAGTATTGCGAGTATACTCGGATATCCGGATAGTAAGAGTTTCTAATTTTAACCGTCACAGCTGCCTTATCGCTTTCTTCTATTTTCCTGCGGGTTCTCTATTGTTCTTCTCTATCTGCTAGAACAATGAACGTACTTAATATAGGGGAGGGGGAATTTTTCCAAGTCCTTCAGAGAAAGAAAAGAGATTCGAATTCGTGATTTTCATAATCGGTGGTAACGTTCACTAGTCAACTATTTTAACCACCACAAACCAACGCCGTTTTTCCTCTTTCTTCTATATTTTCTATTGTTCTTCTAAATCTACCACTGAAAATGCTCGACAGAACGGAGATAAAAGTAAAAACATCGTTAAAAAAAAAAAGAAAGGAAACAAAGGGAACGAAAACCAGTAGTAGAATGGGGGTGGAAATGAGGATGAACGTTTGATTGGTTTCAGTGCCGTGAAATAGGCTACGAGACGCACGAGGAGATTCTGCGAGTACTCGACGAGCTGCACACCACGATGAAAACGTACCAGGCATACCAGACAGGGTCACGGCAAGCCGAAACGAAGCTTCGAGTCGCGGAACAACAGCGCAGCAAGCTGGAGGTAGCGAACGCCCCGCCCGAGAAGCTCGCCCGTAGTAAGAAGTACAAGCTGATGGAAAAGGAAGTGAACAAGGTAGGCTGACGAGAAATCAAGGCCAGGCCAGCCAGCCCATCTCTCTCTCTCTCTCTCTTTCTCTCTTTGCACGTGTGTGAGTATCGCCCTCTCTCACTCTCGACCCTCCTCGAGTCGCCTCTGACCCTGGTGCTGAGCTGGCTCGCTCGAGTATACTTCAAGACGGGCAACTATCGATTTCCATCACGATGTTCTTCTCGCGGAGGATACGTGAACCGAGGTTCAGGTGTATTCCCTCGATGAGTAAAGATCAATTTCATTCATCTCGCGTGAAAATTCTTCACGCCGCCATCCCATCAATTTCAGAAGAACCTCTTTCTATTGTGCAGCTTCTATACGTGTTTGTTTGCTGCTCAGGGTTCCAGGCCACGTGCTCATCTTAGAGTACTTTGAGGACCTTGGTTTTATGTTAAAACGTAAAATAGTTCTCTTGGATATTTTGAGAATAAACGAACTCGAGGGTTTTCTTGATTCATAAATTGTTCAAGTCTTTTTCGACCGTCTTATATAGGCAGTTTTTTTTTTTTATATTTGGTTAGTATTGAAATAATGGCCATTGAAGCGCTTTCTATTGTTCCTTTATAGGATTACATGTTTCCATTATTTGTAACAATCAATTCTCTTATCCTAACATCTGATAAACTTAACAACTAACATCTAATAAACTTCATCTTTGAATACTCTTCCTCCAGGTCATTGAGAAACGTACTACATGCATTGGGTAGATTAAAGTAGAAGTTCATTAGATTTGGATCTTGTGAATAATAATGTAACATTAAAGAAACATGGACATATGTTTATGGTAACTTTTTTTTACTCAAAATTGCATTCTCTATCAGATTCTAAGCTATTTCTTGTCCTTATTTTTGATGCAACCAATATATTTCTGTAATTACTTGTGTAAAATGCATTTGTCAATTGTTCTTCTTTTATATACCTGTAGAATGTTATCGATAACTCTCCCGATTTTAGAAATAAAGAATAGGTTATATACAACTATACATATGCAAGTTGTTAAACTATAGATATTTTATTTTTGAAATAAATTTGAAGTAACATTTTATTGTATATTTTTGTTGTAAATTGCATTCCTTTATTCATAGTTTATAGATATAAATTTAATATAGTCAACTGTTCGTTTTGTTTAATAAATTACGAAAAGCATAAAAAAGGTACTGATAAAAATTCATCTAACTCACATATGCCTATTGTTCTGTTTAGAGGAAAGTCAAGTACCAAGAAGCAAAGCTGAAGGCTCTAAAAGCGAGAAACGAGTACATTTTATGTCTCGAAGCATCGAATACCACAATACACAAGTATTTCGTGGAAGATCTTTCAGACCTCATTGATGTAAGTTGCTCTAGTTAAATCTGTAAGCAAATTTTTAATCGTTTCAAGTTTTCTGCTGTTTCATAAAAATGGAAAAATGTGTATATAACGAATAAAAGTTTTGTTTTTAATTCAAAGTAACCAAAGTGACATCGTATTTTTTTAGTGCATGGATTTTGGCTTTCACAATTGTATTGCCAGGGCGCTGCTTATGCATTGTAGTGCAGAGGAAGGTAGGCAGCGTTCTCTACAATCCGGTGCTGAACAGTTGACTGCCTTTGTCAGTGCTTTAGACTCGAGGGCAGACAAACAAAGGTTTTTGGAATCTCATCATTCCGCGTTTATGATTCCAAAGAAATTCGAATTCCAAGGACAGCGAGGAGACGAGGTGAGCACAAAAAAAAATTCATGGGATTTAACCAAAATACAAAAAAAAACCTTACCTCCCTCAATTATTAGATACTTATCTAAACTATAGTTGTGTATACTTTCACAGACTCCTGAACCAGAATTACAAAAATTGTTACACGCTGAAATGGAGCAACGACTGACTCAATTGCAACAAAGACTAACGTCCCTAAGAACCGAATCTGAAGAAGTTTGGAAAACTTTGGAAACAGCAGAAGCTAGTCTACTCGAGATGTTAACCGCGAAAGATTACGACTGCTCCAGATATTTTGGAGAAAACGCTGTGCCTACTTCCAGACCTCCAGAAACCGTACAAATCAAGCTCAGAGCCGACAAGCAAGAAACTGAAGAATTCTACCTCACGGTGAGTTTTCATAAGTTACATGTGCAAAAGAAAATATTAAATTTCATGGAGAAAAAAATCAGGATCGCCTTAAAAACCACGAATCTTTTGAAAAATTAGCTTCAATCGTTTTAATACAAGTTGTTTTGTAATATAAAAGCTAAACTTTTAAGCGTTTCACACGCAAGACTTAAAAGCATATAATGTAATACAACATATATGGTTACTGTATAGAAGTATTATCATCAACAAAAGGTTCACTGTTATTTTACAGAAATTCAGAGAATATCTTCTTGGAACCTCAAGAATAGCTAGGTTAGACGCAAAACAAGAATACATTCGGCAGAGCTTGATGGATGGGTCCACTGCTAGCTCAAATCCATCATTATCGACAACGAAGCAAAAGCAAGCTCGGAGAAAACGAATCGGTAGATTGCAGATGAATGGCCAGCCAAAACTCTTCGGTGGATCATTAGAAGAATATTTAGAGAGCACGAATCAAGAGATACCTCTTATTATGAAGAGTTGCATTCGAGTGATCAATCTATATGGTCTTCATCATCAAGGTATCTTCCGTGTCTCAGGCTCCCAGGTGGAAATTAATAACTTCCGGGAGTGGTTCGAAAGGGGAGAGGATCCCTTGGCCGATGTCACAGACGCATCGGATATTAACAGTGTTGCTGGTGTGTTGAAGCTGTATTTAAGAGAACTCAGGGAGCCACTGTTTCCCATTATTTACTTTGAACATCTAATGGAACTAGCACAGCTAGAATCGAAGCAAGAGTTCGTTAACAAGATGAAGGAACTGATTTCCAGTCTTCCAAGACCAGTTGTTATAGTAATGCGATACCTTTTCGCCTTTCTTAATCAGTAAGTCTTAAGTATTATTTCTTCAAATTTCATTTGCAACTTCAGTTCTTATCACAACTAACGATTGCAATTTGCCTTACAGTTGTAATTTATAGTCTTATTTTTCGAAAATGAATTAATTTTTGTTGTCCATTTTGCAGTCTTTCAGAATTTTCGGACGAAAACATGATGGACCCATACAATTTGGCAATTTGCTTCGGACCCACCCTGGTGCCTGTTCCAGAAGATAAAGACCAAGTGCAGTATCAGAACCAAGTGAATGAACTCATCAAAAATATCATCACATTCTGTGAAGAAATATTTCCAGAAGATATTGGAGGTACTCAATACGAAAAATACATCAGTAGAGAACCCGATGACGTGTAAGTGTACTGCACCTTTTTGGCGTTATGAAAAATCATCTGACTTGTAAGTTTATGATTTTCTGATGAAAATGAATTTTCCATGCAGAGACGTGGGAGATTCACCGACAGACCAGGTCCAAGAAGATATGGACTCCGAGGTTTATCCATCTGAGGATGGTAAGTGAAAGCAGATATATTAGCAGTCGATTAGTTGTTCGGAATCTAGCAGAGCGCGATCTACGTTCGTTTTGTGTATTCCCAGAATCAGAAAACCTCGAAGCCACAGCGCAATTCGATTTCAATGCACGGTCCGAAAGAGAGTTAAGCTTCAAAAAGGGAGATACTTTGACTCTATACACACAAGTCAGTAATGACTGGTGGCGAGGTGCCTTGGCCGGTAAAGAGGGGCTTATTCCCGATAAATATATTATGATCAAGATAAAGTAAGTGCGACTTAATCACACGCAGTGGTGAATTATTTCCTACGAGAATGCCTTCTGTTGAACCTAATGGTTGAATTTAAAAATTCAAATGAAACGAAATGTGGATAAATTCGAATGTTTACTTTGAAACCAAAAGAAAGTGCTTCTTTAAGCTTCTCTAAGTAAAAATGCATCTTTAGTTTAGTTGTTCTCAATGAATGAATGAATTTATTTTTCTTTTTAATAATTTCCACATTGTTCCTTTACGTATTTCCGAAAAGATTAAATATAGGATACGAATGCATAGAAGTTTTGCTTAACTATAATGCGCTAAGAAAGTTTCTCTGCAGTCAACTATTTCACTGCTTTTAAATGATTTTCATTTTCCCATAAAGTTCATTTAATTAGAGGAATGCGTAACCCTAATACTAATATAATAATAAGAAGATTAAGCATTTTGCGCACTGTACTTCGAACTAATGTCACTAACTCGTGTGCAAATCAATATTGCAGAGAGACTTCTCTAACATTGACTTGCTATTTTAAGGATTTAAGAGGCCATTAATATTTGTTTAGTTCTTTTAAACACGAGGAAGTAAAGCTTTTTTATAGGTCCAGCTTGTATCGCAGCTATGTTTTCTTGTTTTTTTTTCCTTTTCCATTAATTCTGGTTTATAAAAATACTTCTATTCTCTGTTCAGGGACGAAGAACGTGAAAAGGAACTCTTGAAGTCATCGAGTGAAGAATCAATGCGAAGAAGAACTTCCAGCTCTGCTGATAGTGTTCTTTCAAGTAACAATTCACCACTGATGGGTCCATCCGGAAATGTAACTACTTGGTCCTCTAGTACCACGTCCGATGTGCAGTCTACCACGAATATAATCACAACAGAAAATAGCAGTAACAGCGGTGTTATTTCAACGGTCGTGACAAATGTCCCTTGCATCTCATCGGCTCATCCTATCATCAGTCGAGAGGTACTGGAAACTACCGTTTAGTATGAACACCTTATTCGATTTTCTTTTCATACATTCGTCTGCTTGTACATTCTTTGCGACGCACTCGAAAGTTTTGAACTTTTAAGCACAAGTGCATGGCTATTGTGCTATAATTTTAAGTGCAATAGCAGTGAAAGTTGAGAATGCACATTACCGTTTTAAGACGCAGACTTGTTGCCTGTACACTACACACCTAATAGAAAGCAGCATCGCCTTATTCTATGGGACCAAATCCATTACAAAGCCTTTTGTTTGTTTAAATCGATACGAGGTATAAGCAAACAGGTTAGTTTGAATAATACAAATTTTATACGTGGGAGCTAGTATTGTTTACAGTTCTCTTTTATATTCAAAAACCTACTGTTCGATTTTTTCCATTGACTTTGTTGGGTCTATAACCGGTGATTTGAAGATTCGAAAATTTGATTCTCACCAAATAGTAAATTCACGAAGCGCGGGAGACGAATCTAAGGCTATGTTAAATTTAATTTACTTCGAGATAGTATTATTTCAATTAGCTATAATCATTTGTATAATATATTTGTAAATAAAATAGAAATATACATGTTTGTTGCTGCATGTGCCTTGGTCTCTTTGTCTTGTGTCGCCTGTGTCCTTTGTATTTTGTGTGATTTTTTTCTTTTTGTACTGATTGCAACTTTTAATGTTAATAGTTGGGATGGTTTTTCCAGATATACGTTTAGTCAGCCTTTAGTTGACAAGAAAAGTTTCACGTACATAGGTTGTGGGCGAAACGGACTAAAAACTGTTCGATAAAACTGCTGCCAGTGTCGTGTGGTTCTGTCGTTTGTGTTTTTCGTTTCGTTGAAGGAGTGCCCCTGTTTAACAGTTCAGTTGGTTTGTGAATCCTAGTATTCTGTAAAACAATTTCAGTCTGTAGATGAAACCAAAGAGGAATGCTACTCGCAGAGCGTACTTATCCAGCGGATATTCTTCTGGCTTAGGTGAGTAAAAAAGTGTCTCACCCCCAGACCAGTTAATATTAACTTCGTCGTTGGCATCTATAGAGAGATAGGTATCAATGTAAGGCTGTTGTCACATTTACATGTTTGCCTGCTTGTATTCATCCTTTATTCATTGTCAGTTTTACGAGCAGTTTTTAATTCTACCTTGGTACAAATATCAATCTTATGCACTTGTGTTTATTCATGTCCTTGTTTCCACATTAATGCATGCAGATATATGATATGATCACTTTTATATATTTTTATACTCTTGTATACATCTAAAGCTGTAATTATTTAAATATACTTAAGAATGTTTTGTAAAACGATTATTAGGCTCTTATTATAACTCTTTGTAAACTATCGAACTTTTAAACTACTAGAAATATTAATATTAAAATTGTACTTATAAATTCAGCATTTTGAGAATCTGTGGTACATTGCAGATGATTCTGGCCATTTGATGTTGTGCAAATAAAAATAACAATCTGTGACAAAATTCCAGGGCACTACGTACACATAACAACACAGAAAATAATTTGCATTTTATTGCAACAAACATGGTTGGTAATTTGGAGAGCGTCCTTAGTTTCCCACTCACTATGTAACAAAACATTTCATCATAAAAGCTTCCTTTGTATACCTATATTAGAAACTATGACAGTCTCACGTTATTGAACGATTTTCAGGAAGGCGCATCCCGAGTGGCAAAAGTATCGACACCTGAAAAAGAGAAACTCGTCTTCGCTTCGGATCATCGTGCAGACACCACATCGGTCATTATTGGTAATAACGGGGAAAACGAAAAGATATCAGACTTCAGCGAATCATCGATGCAACAGCAACAACGCAACGAAGAAGCTGGCGAAGAAGCAGAACATATCTCCTTGATGAGCTTGGACGGCGGAGGAAGGCGTGGAACTAGTAGAAAACAACACTGGAAATCCCAAAGCATAGGCGACACTGTGCAGCAAACGGGAAACTCTCTTCAAACAAACAACGCCATTTCACAGGAAGAAACACCACAGGAACAACCCACATTTTCGGCAAATCGAGAACTCTGGCAAAGAAGAGCAACGTCACAAACACAATTAAACACACCTGCGCTTCCGAATCATAAGATTTTTCGTACTTCCCAAGAGTTTCGCGAAATGCGTCAGAAACACACGCCAGATCTAGTAATGGATCTACCTTTATCAGCACAGGACGCGAGCAAAAAATCCGCTTCGTCAAGTAGTCTAAGCAGTTCGGACGAGGAGACTCCTACCCAACCATCTCGCGCAGAAGCAGCCACATCGCCTACTGGAGGACCCGAGTCTCCTGATATGAGCACTGCTGCGGAACGGTTTGCTAAGCAGAATCAATGTACTCTAAAAAAAAACACAAAATCGAATCCGGATGCATCCAAGTTTAAACGCGTGGAAACCGAACATGACCCTGAGCAAGAAACCGAGGAAATTGTCAGATCGTCTAGTTCTAATCAAATTTCGGATTCGATATCTTTGAGATCGCCTCTCCCGCCACGCTCGACACCTAAGATAGTTGCAAAATTTGCAGACATGCACCTAACTGGCGGTAGTCAGGTATCCTCGTTCAAGCCACAAGTAAAAGTGAAGCCAACGATTCTCAGAAAACCGGTATTGCCATTCCCACACCCACACATGAGCCCTGAGCTCGCGAGGAAAATCGAGAAGCAGGCGCAGAGCGCTGAACAAACCAATTAATTGCTGCCCAGGGTATCACATACAGAGAGTTTTTAGCAGCAAGGAAATATTTATTTTCTGCGATCCATGCGTGTTTGAGTAAGGTTTCCAGACGCGTAGATTTGACACTAACTTTCCATTGACCAGTTACTCCGCCCAATCGCAAGGACACAAAGTGTGTTAGTTACAGTACCCAAAAAGAAAGGAAAGCCGGACAGCATCGTTCCTTAATATAGACAAACGTGTACACGAGTTTAGATCGCCCGCAAAACGTTACATATATAAGGTTCGATGCTGTCCTCGGGCCGAGTTTATTTTTTCTACGACTATTTTCCATTTTCGCATAATTTTTTTACCAAATGACACGCGAAACGATGTTTCTAGTCATCGAGCGACGATTGAAAAACGATGCGAGAAATGTGTGAGCGAGAAAATACATCGAAAAAAACTTTAAAAAACATTTTTAATAATGCGATTTCGAGATTAAGTAGTTTTTTGTCGAGAGAGAGAAAGAGAGAGAGAGAGAGAGAGAGAGAGAGAGAGAGAGAACGATTTTGTATGTTGGACGATATTTAATTTATTACAAGGAATATTTCTTCTCAACGTGTATCAGTATGATGTTTGCAACAAACGTGTTCGATGTTCCTTTAAAACGCACGTGAGTGAATAGGAGTTTTAAACAAAAAAAAGCCTTTTTCAGGGGTTTCTTTCTTAAGGAGTATGAGTGAGATCTTTAATAAGAATTATACAACAATAATGTTCGATATATTCGAGAATAATAAGTGTACAATAATGCACAAGTATTTATCGGTTCGACGTCAGTTTTAGATATGTACCGATAATTCTGCTATGGAAAAAATTCAACGAAATAGGAAGAAAGCGATGCAACACCTTGACGTATTCATGTCCTTCTTCCTTGTAAGTGATTAAAACATTGTACTCGTTTATCGAATAATATGCATACGGTATATCCAATACTATGTGCAAGTATTCTATGAATTATAACTTCGAAAAACATTTTGGAACGCGATGTAAACAACTGCGATTCGCAAAGTAATGAGAGATGCGAATTCAGTTAAAATTGACTAACGTAATACTCTTTATAGTTATTGATCAAATATTAGTACGAAATATTATCACATTATACCCACCGCAATAAGAAATACCAAAGCCAGTTGATTATTGCCCTTTCCGGTTGTATCATAATATTTGTTGAACAAACACGGTACTAGGACTTCGGTTTTCTTACGATGTGTTCGTTTTTATATAGATCACTTCACAGTGAGAGTTGTGTTTTCACGATCGTTTTTCTATATTCTATTCTCATACCGAATTGTTATTTTCATGCGAATTCAATGTAATTTAACGTGTAATTTAATGTTGTTACGTATTTACTTTCCATTTGACACTTCGTAAAGATACAGGAGCCTAATTTGACATTTTTTCGTTGCGGTTACTGATATTAACTTCAATAAAGAAACTTGCAGGCTGCATTGACCGTTGATGCAACAAACCTGATCACATTCCTAATTCAATTTTTATAAACTTATCATTCTTGGTAAGTATATTTTTGAATAGATTTTTTTATAACGTAGTACAAGTTAGGAATGATTTATTTTTACAATAATTCAAATTATGATTACACATTTTAAATAAAGTTTAAAAGATACTTTATGAAAACAAGTCTGTCTTCTGCAAAACAATAGAAATGTCGCATACGTGCATTCTTATTTATCAAGGATAACTTTTAAACAAATTTTAGCAACACCCACACTGAATACTATTATCCGATAAAGCAAATTTAAGGTTTTGACATCATCGCATGACAAAATAGGCGGTCAGGCTATGCCCACTACTCTTCGGTCTTACACTGTCGCCGCTTGAGGGTAAATTGCGGTGTCGGTAAATGGTTTACACAAATGATTTTAAATTAGCTATCGATAATGTAGCGCACTGATAAAAAAAAACAGGAAACAAAATTATTTAATCGCCTTGTCCTCTTACTTGCGTTGATGTGTAAGACAAACATTTAATAGCACAGATGTTAGCTTCTAAATGACTCATATAGAATAAATTGTTGCTGTAAAGGAAACCTCAAGAAGTGTATTGTATTTTTTAAGATTTAAAAAAGTGAAAAGTAAACATTTTTTTGTTGTTTCTGAATAATACAAATAGTTTTCTGTGTTTTCAAAAATTGCTTACGAAGCCCAAAAATTTCTGACTGCAATGAAAAATAATATGCCACCACAAACTGACAACCACCGTTTCCGTACCTCGAAAATCGACATGTGGTTCATTTGTTACCGACTGCTCACACGAGGCTCGATCGTCTCCTATTATTCATGAAAGAGTAAGTGCGATAGCCTTATTCTATCGTAATTGGCAGGGTATCAGCGAAGACATAAGAGTAAGTGCGATAGCTTTATTCTATCGCTATTGGCTGATTAACAGCGAGACGTCACAATTTCTCCTATGTCTCCCACTTCTACGCCTTAAGGCATGCCTGAAGCCGCAAAATACATTTGTATTGACATCCTTTTAACAAATTCAATTAAAATTATGCGTGATCCTCAATTCCTTAAAAAGTGCGGTTAATTTTCGATGATTACCACATTTTATCATACTGTTTGCAGATTGGTAAATCGGAGATGTTATTGAAAATATAACGTTGATTGCTACACCTCATTCTTTAACACAATTTACACAATTAAATACGTAAATTCTATAATTCATTCTTTTTAAATGTTACGAAATAATAAAAATTCTCAAACATGGAGATGAATGAAATTGTAAAAGATATTTTTGGGCCAGATGTATTCTTAGGTCCTACATATAAGAAATCTAATGAAGAAACTGTGAATTCTTCAGGGTACTTATACTAGTTTGTATTTTTTATTCTCTTTTGAATATTAGAATTTAATAGTTATTGAAGTATACATATTTACATTTTAGAGTGTCAAATAGTTTAGATTTGGTAAATAAGTATATTGGAAGTACCCTGTTAAAAAATGCTCCAGTGGGAAATATAGAAGACAATAGAATTGGTCGAATTGGACCTAATATAGTCAGATTTGATATGTCAACTCGTTCAGGACTTTTTTCAATTTCTCCTGATGGACTTAGTGTTAAAGCTAGAAGTAATTCTACTACAGCAAGAGCAAATACAGCAGTCTATAAAGGAAAATGGATGTACGAAGTACAACTTGGTTCTAAAGGACATATGCAAATTGGTTGGAGTACAGTTAAATGTAAATTCAATCAGGAATTTGGAGTTGGTATGTTGATATCTGAATTAATACCATGTAAAAATGTAAATTTATTTTTCAGTCTAGTAATAAATAATCTGTTAACTACTTAATGTTTTTCATTGTCATGTGATTATATTGAATATATAATGTTTCAGTTTTTGAAAATTACATTTAAAATGTTTCTTCATTAGGTGATACTATTAATTCATATGCTTATGATGGGAATAATGTTAGAAAATGGAATGTAGCTGCACATAAATATGGAGAAGAATGGTTTGCATGGGACATTATTGGATGTGCATTAGATATGGATAATGGAACTATTGATTTCTATAGAAATGGTAGAAATTTAGGACGAGCATTTGAAAATATATCAATGGGTCCTGGTTTTGCATATTTTCCTACAGTGAGCCTTACACAAACATTAGGTTTAACAGCTAATTTTGGTTCTACACCAATGTGTTATCCTATAGAAGAATATGAACCACTGCAAGCAGCTCCAAAACAAGAAATAGATCAAGCTATGCTTTTATTTGAGTGGTTTCTAAAACTGGTAAAACAGATAAACACAAAACAAAATATGAATGAACAGACTATGCTGCTTGATGAAAATATAAGCATGCAAACCTTCTTAATGTGTCTTTCAAGTTCTGTTTTAAAACATGTAGGACCTCTACTTACTATGCCATATATTACAGAACATGTTTTAATTCCATTCATGCAACAACTTTCTGAATTAGAAACAGATTCTCCATCTGTGTTATCAACTTGTTTAGATTTATTATGGGTACTTCTTGAAGAGCATGAAATGAAGGCATGTTTGGAAAGTATAGTCCTTTTCTTACTGTCTACATTCAGACATGTAACTTCCTTACTTGAATACCTTAATTATTGTAAAAATGTACTATTTTTGATAAAAATTTGTCAACATATAACGACGCGTCAATATTTATTACAATATTTACTCTTCGATCAAGTAAGGCTTCCACATTTCTTAAATGTTAAACCACCAGATAAAAGAGGGCTGGCTGATATAGTTAACAATGTTTGGTGGGAAATGGATCCTGTGCATTCAAGAGTTGAAGCTAACAAAGAAAGTTACTTGGACGCGTGCAAGATGATTAAAGCTACTATATCTGGTATAATCAACATTAAAAATATTTGTTCAGGTCAATTTTAACTGTTTTCATATCTTTCTTAATTTATTTCACAGAAGTGGAAACATTACAAGTACAATTACTAGTAACTCTTCTTGATAATTCTGATGGTAATGAAAGGAGACCAACTTCAAGAACTATATTTTTAAAAAAATTTAAACGTTTTGTTCCAGTAGCAAACAATGTGAGTAGAAGACTATAAAATTTACAATAATTAAGCCATTTTATACAGTATTACGTCTTTGGTCAGTATTTCTACAGATAATAATCAATACTTCAGAATCCAGTACCATGTACATTATGTTGTGCATTTCGACTTCTGGCTGCATTCAAAATTTTATGGGATGCCGAAGTACGAACATATCCTGTTTATGTACCTTGCAGGTATACTTTTATCCATTATATTTAAAATATTCTATATGATTTATGCTTTTAGCCTTATGTAATTTATCTATTAACATTTTCTCGTAAATTGAAATGGACAGGGTATTCTATGATGGATCAATTGACTACTTGAGAACTGAAAGACTGGGTGGCGTCGTGTCTCATTTAAACAAGACATACAGAGATGAATTGGTACAGCGGTTGGGTCCTGAACATGAAGTGATTGTTACAATGGGGCAGAATCAAGATTTATCTAATTCATATACTGGATTGACATTTGTCAGAGTGATTAATATGAATTTACTAGGTCAAGGAAGTTCAATGAACTTTGATACAACACCATTACGCTTGAACTCTGTAGATGCAACTACATCTTTGCTAGAACTGCTTGACAGTATTATTTTATTTTATCATATAGTAGTGAAAAAGCGATTGGCAAAAGTGGTACTTCTTAGGAATAGCATGTCAGATTATATTTTTGCTATTCAAGACATGATAACACGTCTAGAAGAAGTTAAAAAAAAAAAGGATCCTGAATCTCTATCAATTCAACAAGAATTATCAAGGACGATAGACGTCTTTAACACTAAATTGACAGACCAAGCAAGACATATGGTATGGATTCGTGCTGTTGTTTATTCGGAAGAGAACCAGTCACAATTATCATGGCTTTTAAAAGTGGTCACGTTAACATTGAAAAACGCCAGTTTAGAAGGAAATATATTTAGCTTTGTACCAGATTTTTACTTAGAAGCATTGGCCGACTTGTGTGTTGGTTTACGAAATCATATGCATCCAACGGCACATATTGAAAAGATTCCAGACTATCGAGAAACGTTTATAAGCATAGCTGAATTTCTTTGCGAGCATTTCATGGATTCCCGTATAGTGAACGTCAATTCAAAAACTACGTTACTTTTAACGCTGGCTGGATTCGTGTTCAATCCACTTACCTTGGAATCTTTAGAAAATGTACCTAAAAAAAGTAGAGTGAAACTTGTCACGAATTTATTAAAATCATACGAAAATAGAGCATGGGCCGAGTCAAATTGGATTCTAGTTAGATTTTGGCAAGGTAATGGTTTTGCCTTTCGATATGAAAAGAGCCCACATCTTTCGAGCGGAATCGGACTAAAACTATTTCAACAAGAGTCGATTTCTCAACCCAGAAGTACGTAATTTTTATTTTCAGTAAATGCCTTAAAAATAGGATAATCAGTGAGATTACCGATCTCCGTTCTTTAGAACCATGCCCATCTGTTGTATACCAAGGCCACGTAAGGGATGTATTACTAAAAAATCCACAGGATACAACGACATTCTTAAATTCTTTGCTAAATTTATTGAACTGGACTTTTTCTGAGTTTATTGGAATGATGCAAGAAATTCATAATGGTTCATCGAGACCTGAAAGAGTTTTCATTGAATCTAGACAACTAAAAATCTGCGCTACGTGTTTTGATTTAACGGTTTCTCTGTTAAGAGTTTTAGAGATGATTATCACTGTGGTTCCAAATATCTTTAACAATTCACCGCAGTCTTTCAACGAAAATTTGTTGTTTAGATTATGTCAAGTATATATTTCTATAATATTAACACCACTATATCCTATTTAATATGTAATTATCATTTAATTATTTTTATAGTTACTTTGTCAAGTGTTAAATAGAATGAGTTCACAAACTAGTTGTTTCCAACATGTTGTACTATTGGAAATTCCAGATTTAGAATCAGTGGATCATTTTCCAATACTGACAGCAATTACTGGTATTTTGTTAGCATTACTTAAAGAAGATATGACCAATTTTAAACGTAAGTATTATTTTAATACCCTATGTAGAAATATATAGTTGTAATTTAATTCAAGAAAAATTTGTTTTTTGTTAGCAAAATCTATGACAGAAATACCAAAGGTGACTCAAACTTTATTGATGGAACCAAGTTTTCAAATGAATACCTTATATCTCATGTTAGGAGACTTTAAAGTTAAAAATAACCAAGCAGAGAATGTAAAATTATTTTCCTTATTAAACTGTAAGTATACATATATGTAAATACTGTTTCTGTAAATTTGAAAGTAGTGAATAATTATGATAACATACAAAATATTGTCGTGTAATATTTGCTGCAGATCCAAATGATGTAACGGAAGAAGAAATACAAAAGCTGAAAGAAATGATTGAATATTTGGATGACTGTCGGGCTATTTTGCCCAAGTTAAAAATTTTAAGCGATAATAGTGATACTTGCACAATATGTTACGCGCAATCCATAGCCGTAACTTTTAAACCTTGTAATCACCAAACATGTCGTATTTGTATCGATCGACATCTTTTAAATAGCAGATCATGCTTCTTCTGCAAAGCGATAATCGAGAAAGTCGTAGACCTCTCTGGCAACATATTACACGACTTTAGTAACAAAACTACAACCTCGAAATAGTCCATGAAATCATTTTGACTGATCACTATAAAAAAAATGATGAACTATAATTTATTGTGACAGCAATTGTAAAAATAAATTTCTTGTAAAAATTGTAATAGATGCTGGAAAAAAGTAAACAATTGTGTAAAATATTATGTATAATTTTATTTATTCAATATAACATTTATTGTTTTAAAACATATAAATGTAATAAGAAACAGAAAATTACAAATGTTGGTTTATACAAATTTCCTACCATGGCAAAACAAATGTAAAATAGGTTTGTATATGTGTATCAGTCTTTTAAGATTTTCTATTACAATTAAAATAATATCAATTTCTTTTTTGTAAACATTTTTATAAATTTATTTTCTTGAGTATTAACAATTTACAGGAAATTCTTCTATAAAAACTATTTTATCTTTTTTCTGTAATGTTTAAAGTAAATTAAATATATTAAGTACATAAACTTTCTCTTAATTGCCTAAAACCAGTTACCAATGGAACTTGTTTTGATGTTAGATGCAAATCTTCGACAGCTTCTACAAATACAACGCCAGATACAAATGCACCAAGCGCAGTAAGAAAAATTGCGAAAAATATCAGCAATCGGTCTTTATTTAAATGTAATTCTGAATCTTTTAAAAGTGTACTTTGAAATAAACAAATGCCTGGAAAGATAAAAATAAAAGCTGCCGATAATGCCCCTAGTAAATTAATAATCGGCGAAATATCTGGCACTAATATTGCAATTATTAGAGACAATATATACCAGATCAATGTAACAAAAACTCTGACTTTAATAGTTACATTAATATCCATTCCTAAAAGACTTAACAAAGCATCGCGACCACAGTATAAAACAATTGGATATGTGGTAAAATTTTTAATTGCTATGAATATAATGGCTACAAGAAGAATTACACTTCTGTCTGTATAACCTTGAAGTATATCACTGGGTACTTTTCCAGCACCAAATGTTGCATATCCACAAATACCAACTAGTGTGTAAGCAGTAAAACAAATGATCATGCTTAGTATAGCACACAATGTAAATTTTCCAATATTTCTCTCTTTCATACAAGCATACATTGGTATTGCTGTCATATGACTCTGCAAATGCAAAAAATGCCAAGAACCATAATGATTTATGAATATAGAATTATCCTCTACTTCTTCTCATGTTGAAAATTTCTATGTTACTAAAAATACAATACCTGATATGCAAAACAAATTACTGGAATTATCTGAAGCACTTCAAATCCATTATCAGGCCATATTTTCATGGGATTAACAGGAGATTCAACTTTTGTGAAATTTTTATAGAAGACCAACCATACTACATAGCAAATAGTTATACAACCAATGGAACTAGTATAACTTAGAGCATTCAATGTTTTAAAAAAACATAAAGGTAATATAAATATACTACATGTTATAGCTGTAACAAATGGTCTGGCTAAATACCTAAAATATTAAATTTGTTAATAAATAAAGAACATATTAATGAAATAATATTCTTATATTAAGTTTAATATCAGTTACCATGTATGACAGTAATCAAGTCCATAATATGTTGCTAAAACTCTGTCAAATTGGTCACCAACAATTATTAGAAATGTCAAACAACACCCAAAGCTATATATTGTAACACACAAAGCACATAAAAAGAGTGACTTTTGTCCATAAAGCTTTGCAAACATATCTTGCATAGAAGATGTATTTGTAATATCACTGCAATTTGCTAAAATTATTAGTGCAGCTGCAATAAAGATGAGCAATATAAGTTGTGTACCAATGGCAGTGATTAATCCTCCAGTTTTATCAAATGCCTGTGGAAAATTTAAAAGACCAGCTCCTAGAGTAGCATTGACAATTAAAAAAATTGTACTTAACGCATTGGTTCCTGTAAATATCGTTATGTTTTATTCATTATCATATTATACTTGCATATTTCACGGAAAATTAAAAATAGTCAGAAAGTAAGTACAATATACCTAATCGAGTAGTTTGACCATTAGATGAAGGATTCGGTGCAGTAGATAATAACATTTCATTGCTAATAAGTTGTTCCATTTCACCAATTAAACAAGTCATACTTGATGATTACAAATTGAGAAGTTATTTACGACTAACAATCTGTTCAACAGTTATCTCTACTGATGTATTCTTATGAGCAAGAAAAAGAAATTTATCGGTAACGTTTACGATTTGTCAGTTAGACCAAAGGTCATTACAGAAAGTTATATTTATTGTTTTAATGCGGTAACTTATGTTGCCGCTTCAAAATACGTACATATTGTTTTGATTAGATTTATAAACTTCGTCACGAAATTTAAAAAGTTTTTGGTTACAAATCGTAATATCCTATCCAAATTATTATATTTAAAATTGATTGAAAGGTAAGCGTTTTT